TTGGTCTGTTTCTTATGCTTTTATAGAACATCTTTGTATATTAAAACTAGCAACCCTCACTACTTCTTTTTCCATTTAACTTTATTTAGGTTGCTTTTGCCATACTGGTTTTTTTTTTTTGGTTGGTTGATTTTGGTTTTGGTTTAATGGAATCAGATCACCTAGGTTTCCTGCCATGCTAAGAAAAAGCTTTTCTACACCAGGATTATATAAATGTTTACCTATAATGTTTTATGGTTTCATATTTTAGATTTAAATCTTTGTTCCAGTATCAGTTAACCTTGGTATAGAGGTTGAATTATAGATCTAGTTTTGTTTATCCTTGGCTAGCCAGCCACCCAATTCTATATACTGAATAATTCTTCTTTCTGTCCGTCATTTGAAATGATTGAGGATGTGTTTTTGATGCTCAAACATCAGGACTTATTCTTTAACCATTGGAGTTCCAGGACTGAGGCCTGCAGTGGGATCCATTCTAGTACCTTCTTTAAGTAAATATATAATGCTATGAAAGAGGAATTACATCTTTATCATAACCAAAAATACAGGCTTTATATTTCAAAACTTTTTAGAAATTTGCACATAATATTTAAGTTTTCAGAGTTAACATATTGCTTTGTTTAGTGTTTTTCTACCTGTAATTTATACTTTTTTTATGTTCAGAATTAGAAAGACATGAAATGGTAAAATTCTGTAATAAGTTACTAGGGACACATAAAAGTGATTTGATTAAAAGTATATCTTATTTCCAAGGTGAATATCCTAATCGTTCAACTTTTTTTAGCCATGTAATAGAATGTTTTTGGTAAAAGCAATAACAATAATAGATACAATGCACTCTGCTGTGATTTTTTTTCTCATTTTAATGCGTTAATATTAAACTTAATTTTTATAATCAAGTAGAGTTATCTGACACGGTGAGATTTAACTAATTTTCTCTTTTCAGATCATTAGTTTGTTAAATGTGTTTACACCACAAAAAACTCTAGAAGAATTTCAAGATGTGTAAGTATCATTTTTTATTCAACAGTGCACTATGCAGCAAAGAATGAAAATTTATAAAAGAAAGTAACTTTTTTTAAATTAAGAAATGTTGGTAGCAATACATTTTTATTGATATCTTAGCCACTTTTCTCTGTGGAAGAGAAATATTAAGGAAATGGATAATAATAATGTTCAAATATTTGTGCCTAGATGGTTACCATCTCCGTAACAGACAAAGGATGACTGGAGATAATTCTTCAGAGCAGACAGGACTATTAATGCCACTGATTTGCTTTACTGAAATAGCAGACGTTTTTCTCCAGTACCCTGAGAGCCAGGATTATAGGGTTGAGGTGTTCACAATCATTATTTGCAATGGAAAGACTCACTGGATTGGTGACATTTGAAGAAAGCCTTGAAGGAGATGAAGGGATTCGTCCTGCAGATATTTGTGGGGAGAGGGGTTGAGGTAGGAGGAACAGGCAGTGCCAAGGAATGGAAGTGGGCGCATGCCTGGTGCTCTCAGATCAGTAAGAGGCCACGTGGTGGCCGGAGCTGAGGGAGCGAGAAGAGACGATGACGTGGGCTCAGAGAAGTGACGGGGCCAGACACTGGGGCTCCAGGCCACTATCAGGATTTCGGTTTACTCTAAGGCAAGTCAGGAAGAATTTCAACAAGGAGTGAGCTCACCTGACTTGCATTTTAGAAGAATAACTTTGATTTCTGGGTTGAGAACCCATTGTCAGGTGTGTGGGGACATAGAGGACCAGTTGGGAGGCTATTGTAGTGATTCAGGTGAGGGGTCATGGTGGCTCCATTTAGACCAGAGGGTAGTGATGAGGGGAAAGGGAAGAGAGTGGGTGCTGAGACTGTTTGGAAGGTCGGACCACAGTGTGTGCTCTTAGAGAGGACGTGTGGTGTGAGAACAAGAGGGGTTGGGGACGACACCTGGATTTTTTACCTGAGTACCTGGAGGATGAAAGTGCTCTCAACTGAGATGAAGAGGCTGCAAGAAGAGCAGGTTGGGGGTGGGGGGTGGGGGGATCTGGAGCTCAGTTGTGGACATGACTGCCAGATAGCTGTTGGACACCCAAGTGGAACTATGAAGGGGGCTGTTAGATAAATGAGCCTGGAGAGAGGTGTGGCCTGAAGCCATGAATTTGGGAGTTGATGGTCCACATCTGGTGTTTAAAGCCTTGAGACCAGAGACCAGAGGAGATCACCCAGACGGTGACAGTTAGAGACAAGAAGAAGGCCAAGGAGTGAATGCTGGCAGCCCAACTGTAAGAAGCGGGGAGAGGATCGGCCAGGACTTAGCAGCACGGAAGTCACTGGGAGCCTTGAGGACAGTTTCAGCAGAGAGTTAGAGGGGCAAAAGCTTGATCAAAGTAGGATTAAGAAAAAATGGGGGAAGAATTGGAGATGGCAAGTATAGACACCTCTTTGGGGAGTTTGGCTTACAAAGGGAATAACAGTAGAGGGTGGTAGCTGGTGGGGGAAGTAGGGTCAAGTTTTCTTTTACTTTTTGAATATTATTTTCCAAATACAGATGACATACAATATTATATTAATTTCAGGTGTACAACATAGTGGTTAGACAATTATATACCTTACAAAGTGATGACCCAGATAAATCTAGTACCTATCTGACACCATATGTAGTTTTTATGATATTGTTGACTATATTCCCTATGCTGTACTTTACATCCTTGGGGGTCAATTTCTTAAGATGAGAGAAATAACAGAATGGTTTCTATACTTGTAAGAATGATCCAATAGTAAAAAAATTTAAGATGTAGGAGAATTTGGATGTTTGAGATTCTGTTTACTGTGATATAAAAATTGTTTTGTTTTTAACTTGAAAGATAAGATGTTGTTTTTTCTTTTGAAAAACTTTTACAAAGTTTCATTATATATTTATCTCTTTTCAACGTACCTCATGAAATGTTTAGAGAGAAAATTATCATTTTACTTTTGCCAGTGTGTTGACTAGGTAGTAAGTTAGTACTGTTTCATAAAAATTCCAGTTTAATAGCCATAAATAAATTTGGGGTAATTTTCATGTGTACATAGCTGGTCTTCTTTTCCCTCAGGTATTTGGTTATGGAATTGATGGATGCTAACTTATGTCAGGTTATTCACATGGAGCTGGACCATGAAAGAATGTCCTACCTTCTTTACCAGATGCTCTGTGGTATTAAACATTTGCATTCAGCTGGTATCATTCATAGAGTAAGTAATGGTGCCATATTAATTTTATTTTTTTAAATCACAATCATTTTGTCATAATCCTCCAGAAACAAAAGAAATTGATATTTTTTAAAAAAATTGTCAGTGTTGAAAATCCAAATAAAGTATGGGATGGTGTTGAGTTTCCAGACATTGTTGAGATGAGAAGACATTTTAAGGCCTCATTGGCCAGGGCCCACAAGCCACCCTGGAGGCCGGCAGTAGCCAGGTCCTCAGCTTGATATGCAGAAGAATACTTAAAACGCAGAG